TTTTCGACCCACCGATTTACGCATGTTCGAGCTTCGAAGATCAAAAACTGTAGGCTATCTAAAAAACACTGACAGGACTTTCTTTCCAACCTATACATAATGTACAGTATGCCGAACGAATTACGAAACAGCGGCAAAGTGTAGGTAGATGTAAAACCGTCGCCGCGCGCGCCATCAGAGACGCCTTTTCAACCCAAAGAGACAGTTGAGACAGTATACTAAAAATTAATTACTGCCTCAAATGCCTCTCTGGGATGGAAAGGAATTAATCAAATGAAGAAAGTTTAATTTATTCATTTATTTAATGCGTCCATGAATGGACACGCCATAACCGCGTATGAGATGAAATTATTTGAGCGTGCAATAGGAACATAACATAGAACTAAAGGCCAGGAACAAAGCAACTAAATACAACCAACTAGGAACGAAAGAACGGAGGTCGTGCTGAGTGAGTGGCTCAGTGAGCAGGGGCACCTCTTCAGAAAATGAGACAAAAATCCTCAACTGACAGACTTCCTCAATAACAGTGCTTAAATTTGGGAGGGATCGGCTGACATTTACTTGATGTTTAATTATGGTGCTGCTCAAGCACTAGAAACTCTAAGGCTCCGGGCCTATTGAATTTTTTTCGAGCTCAATTCATCCGAATTTTTCTGTATAGCATTGTTCTTATGAAATTAAAAGGAGCACTATGTCACCATGAGTCTGTGGATCTAACATAAATTTCGTGTCAGGTTCCGTCGTGCCGAATTTCATGATGTGTCGACGTCGGCTCCAAATAGAATCTCATGGGTCATGAAGAATTTCGACCTTGGGTGAATAGCAGTTGAAGCTCCTACGAAGCCCAAAACTGATTCTTCCTACGTTTCAGATTTATTGGAGATCTTAGCGGAGCAGTCAACATCGTAGTCCCCTTCAACCTCACAGGTCAAGCCGAAGTGCAAGCTGAAGGGCTTAGTGTCCAGCTGGATAGTGCAGTACGTTGATTGTGCCTGAACCTCGTCATGTACTCATTTTTATCCCTTCAAAATTCAGATAGAACGAGCTGCAAATGGCTCCGCTCACATCAGTTCCATTGCCTGCCATTCGACTATTCGTGCCGTGGACGTGACAAACCATAACGGAGGACTGTTCGGATTGGCTGTTACAGTATTCAAGGTACTGATAGAACGAGTGGCAAGTCACCTTGTGGCCCATAGCTCCTAGGGTTCGACTCTTTAAGGAAGACTATAATA